AGACACGGAACCTTCCACATGTTCTTACGGTAAGCACAACCCTAATCTGAAACAAGCTTTCCAAAGATAGGACATGGCAACACGAGTAACGCCACAGCTTATTATGAGCACGATGCTTCTATCGCATATACAGCAGTCCTTTGATCCATAACACGTTGCTGCAAACTTCAAGATCCAGCTAAACTTGGTGAGAAGCCTAGGTAGGGCTCGAATATCATCTATAGACACTCACCATCCCACCGGTCCCGACGACACATTTTGTCCCATTCAGCATGACTGCTTAACCGCGCCGACGCCAGCATACAAGCGCTCCGCATCGGGTATGATCCAGTAAAGTTGCGTGCCTCTGTTGCAACTGGGTGTCTGCACCAACGTCCGATAAGCTAGCTGAAGCGTGGATGGTAACAAAGTTTTGTGATAAAGACGTGAGAAAGGTGGGACATTTAATCTGCTGCGATTGTTGGCCCGCACACACTTCGCACCTGAGTGACACCAGAGTAGAGGCTTATGAAGCCTATCACGGTATTAGGGCGTGTGAGGCTTGTCAAGCCTGCCGCGCTTGTTAGCCGAGCACCTTCCGTTGCACCTAGGTGTCGCGGCGTTTGGCGGCGGAGATATTACCATACTTGTACAAGTCCTATTCTATCGTATCCGGCCTCTATGTCAAACGTTGGATTAGATTAGATTATGATTAGAACGCGAAGATAACGGTCTGGTCTCTGTCTGACGTCACCCGGGCTGCCCGAGTTAACCGCTCCCCCGTTCCCCCGCTCCTCCCGCCTCCCGCCCTCCGCTCGGCTCGGTCCGCGCTGCCGACGCGCCCTCGCCTATTCCCTTGTCCCTTCCGCCGCGCCCTTGTCCCCTCCGCCGCTCCCTTCAACGCCGCCGCTCTACTCAATGCCGCCGCTCTCTTCAACACCCCCTATGTCCACCTGTCTCGCCTCCTTTCCCTCAAGCGCGCGTGGTAAGCTTTGCGGCTGTAAGCACGCTCCCACCATTGATATAGTTGTATAGCGCCCGACAGCACAGCATTGGGGCTGCGGGGGATCGGAAACAATCGAAGCGAGCCAATTACAGCCCTGGCGCCTGAATTGGTATGCAGACTTCGGAGCCTTTATTGATTACGTGAGTGTTCACAAAATTTTCTCTAAGTCTCGCATTGTATAGGATAAGTCTCAGAACCATTATAATTCATTGATGTTTGCTTCTACTCTAGGACTAAGTATCTATACTAAACAAATGTACGATTATAATGTGTGATTATGCTACGAAAGCAAGTACTAGTACATATCTAAGGAGGGATTATTAAGAAGGTCACTAAAGTAGCCTGAGGGCGTGGGTGTACTCGACAATGCCGGTGAGGCTGATGAGTCCATGTATAAATAGTTTGGGTTATCTATGGTATATGGGGGGTGCATATGGGCGTTAGCGAAAGCTGGTGACTGCTGGTACTGGGACTGAGACTGAGAGAGGGCTGGGGAGAACTGAGATTGCGGGAGGGCCGGGGGGAATGACGACGATGGCGTTGGCGACAGCGTGAGCAGTGGGGTAGACGGCGGGGGATGGGTGATGGCTGAGTTGGCCGTTGGTGGAGATGCGGGCGTGGAGGCGGCGGCCCCCGGCTGAAGCGTGGTGTTCGTACGCCTCCTCTTCGTCCCGGCGGCTTTCAGGGGCCCTGCTAGCACGCGCTGGTCGTGGGCAGCCTTGCGAGCATTCCACTGCTCGTCGGAGAGCTCCCGCCAGAAGCAGTCGCCAGTCCTGATGGCGGTCTCGATCTGCTGCAACAGGCTGACCGACGACACGTCATTCGGGTTCTTGATGACTCCACCGGGGTAGCCGACGAGCTCCACGCCCCACCTGATGACGGTGCCCTCGTGGTTTTGCCACTCTACCATGGCCGGCAACTCCTCGCGCGAGATGCCACGGCTCTGGAGTAGTTTACCTGTCAAATAAACTAGTTAGATGTTGACGTCTCGACGAGTGATAGTAAGAACTCACAAAGTCTATGTAAAATCTGCTCGCGAATTATCCTCCTGAGCAGAGTGGTCTTCCTTTCGCCGGTAACAGCCGCTAGCTGGGCAATACCACCCGCGACATACGCGTCAAGTCGGAGGGAGAGCTCCTCGACCGTGTGCTTGAAAAGCATCAAGCACGCGTCATCGAGGCGCTTAGACGTCGTGCTGCGGGGCGCGTACTGGTCCATGACATCGTTGCGAGTGACGATATAGCATATATGACAGTTGGTAGCTTGTTGGAGCTCCAAGAGCTGTGAAATACGAATGTCAGGCGGGATAGTGCAAGGATTACAAATGAATACATACGACGGGGTCGATTTTCCGAAACGTCCCTTGAATGGTGTTACCGATATGCTCCGAGCGAACCTTCTTGACGACCTTCTTGGCTTCGGAAGCCTTCTGCTCTTGAGCCTGTCGGGATCGCTCCGCCCACTCAAGCTTCTCCTCAGGCGAGAGCTTCGCCCACTCCTCTGAGGCTACCTTTGACGCAGATACCATCGCCCCGGAGCCGCCTACGTTTTCCTCTTCAATAACAGTGAGTAGTTACACTTTGTATGAGATGCTGGGTACTTACCGTGGTTGGCAACACGCGTTGCGTGGATGTGTTTCACGAACGCGCCGAAGGCGTTTGACCGGGGCTGAGCCTCCTTAGCCTGCTGTTCGGCGCCTAGAAAGACTTGTGTTGAAACCCATGGAAGCGGTCTATAGTGTACATTAGCAATCATATGTAATAGAAACACTTCTGTGACTTACACGTCGTATGCCTCCGAAATATCCATCGCTCCCTGCAAGCCCAAGCTGCGTTGCTTTGAAATGGCCTCCATCAACGCTTCCCTCCTGCGGCTAGATTCCCGTATCTGCTCTTGTGTGCGCTTCGCCTTCGACGCAACGGGCGGGGGGGTACCTTCTGCTGGGGGTGTGGAACTCATGGTTAGGTAGGCGAGTACAAGGAAACGGAGGAGAAAAAATGTAGTTTCATTGGGGCTAAACAAACACAACCACAGCAATAAACAAAGTACTCAGGGTGACATTCGCGTAGCTAAGACCTGCCAGTGATGGCGACAAAGGGTTAGAATGAAGTAATAGGGGTGAAATGAAACAACTCACTAAGGTAAACTGACAGCTCAAAGTCGACGATACAACTCAGCAGCACTATCCATCGTCAATCCGGCCTCGACGAACAACGCGATCCACAGCGGTCGCTCGAAGATCAGTGCAGCACGGACCTGAATGAGAGTCCGGCTGCCAACGCCAAGACGACTGAGGTACCGTAAAGCCGATGAGCTCAGCGACCCTTCGTCAGCAGCGCGGCGAGACTCCGCCGCACGGCTAGACTCAGGGGCTCTTGGGGACTTCAAGTCCACCTCGAGCGCTTTGCCCTTTCCTTTGGACAACGAAGCACGAGGGTCCGACGGAGCTACAGATTGTGAGTCGGCGCCGTGTTTTGTGTGCGAAGACGCTGGCGTACTCGGGGACCGGGCTAGTGACAGGGCCTTTGACTTGCCCTTGTCTTTGGACGAGGAATGGCGAGGCAAAGGTGAAGGCGAGGGAGGTGATGAAGGAGGAGATGTAACAGGGGGTAGATTACTGGAGAAGATGGCCGGAGTATCGTAGGGAGTGAAGGGGGGAGAATCAGCACCGTTGTAGCTCGTGTTGTTATCTATAACAACGAAGTCCGTGGATGAAATGGTCGCCGAGGGTGCGTAACGTGAGGATGAGACAGAGGGGCTCGTGAGCACCACAGGCGAGGCAGCCTCCTGGGCTGGATGACTTTCTGAGGGGCGATATCGTGACAAGGGCAGTGTTGCAGGAGCAGGAGGGGGGAGCACGGCGTTGCTGGTTAAGGGTGTCGAAAGCGATGAAGATACCGTGGAAAGCGTAGACGAGCGTGTCGAGATGACGGAAGAAGGTGTGCTTAGTCGAGGGCGATCCCGAGGTGTGAGAGGGAGAGCCGGAAGGGAAGGTGGGGTCAAAGAAGGCTGTGGTTGTAAAGCCGGGACAGATGGTTGGGGAGCAGGCTGGGACTGAGGAGGAGGCAGGGTCTCTCGCATAGTGGCACGGCCGTCCACTATAGTGTAGCCAGCCCCCGGTGTTACAGAGCGGAGTCGTTGGCCAAAGGTCTGGATGTGCTGGGCCGCAACGTCTTCGCGAATGATGGACTGGAGTCTTGTGATTGCAGAACGAACGTGGGGGTGGAGGTCGGTGTGGTAGCTGGAGAAGGTTTGAAGTTCAATGCGTGAGGTATCGAGAGGAGCGTCCGGGTTCCATTCAGGTCGTACAGCAAAGCCAATGAAGAGGCTGTCGGTCATACGAGACATGGTCGTCACCTTCATGCTAAGTCAGTACTAGAGCATACACGAGGACATATGACGCACCGAGTCTTCCATGTCTAAAATAAAATCTGTCCACACCGCATGTCGATCGTCTGCACCTCGGCAGAAGGAGTGGTGAAGTTGTGTCCAGCGGTCGATGCCACTGGTGGAAGGAGCACCAGCCCCTGAGCGACGTGAGATGCAGCGGCGGCGATAGCATTCGCAGCGGATATCCAAAGACGTTGGGCGCGCGTCTTGACTCTCGATCCACGATCGAATATCAGAGGGGTGGCATGAGGTTGATGCAGAGGGATGCGGCTGAGCCATAATTAGAGGGTGGTCGTGCGCTGAGTGTTGAAACGTTGACAGCAGCTGGACTTATCAAGGATCATGTAGATGGCGCCTCGTGCATCACGCGGCGTTCGTCTGCACACCAATCCACACGTTTTGATGCACTTCACCGTAATCCTTCTCTCAAATCACACATCATGTTGCACGACGTAAATCTCACTTCCTTCAAATTTTTGATGGGTACATGTACATGGTAAAAATGCTCATTAATTCGTAAATAAAATTAGTTCATGTTCTCTACAAAGGTCGAGAGGCTGTGCATATGAACATGAAGTTCATCGTCTTCGAAATCAAGATGATCATCTACACTAACTTGAGAGAATGCAAAATCACCGTGCTGCCCTGCTGTTGTCGTGACGCTACCATTGCCATCAGAAAGTTCAACGCTTCTTACACCTGTGTACCCCGGCAGGCACTCCAGCATGTTCAACTTGGCAAGGTGGACCTTGTTCGCACGAATGCGCCCGGTGAAACGAGCCGCGAGAGCTGCTGAGAGGGGTGGCTTGACCTCTTTGAGCCGTTTCTCGTGCTGCTCAATGTCAGCATTCTCAGTGAGAACCCACGCTCGAAGCCTGCCAGCTTCGACGTTGAGTCTGGTGATCTCCTCGCGCGCGCGCAGGATCTTGAAGTGTTTCGTTGCCGCGTCCCGATTGATGGGCTGAGCCCATGGCTGCTCGCGAACGTTCGCCTGAGAATACGAATGCTTGAGGATGTCGAGTTCAGAAAGAAACGTGTACTCGATGATATCGTCCCACTTGATCTGCGTGGCTGGTGGATCCATCTTGGCGGCAAGGGTATTGTACCGTTCCAGAGCGGTCCGAATGGCGGACGACCGCTTCTGGATTGCCTTCCCAATTGAGGTTCGAATCTTATATGCTGTGGGGAAAATGTTAGTTAACATCAGTCGCAAGCGGAAGAAGCTCACCCGTTTCAGCAATGTGTGTCTTTGCGAGCTCTTGTAGCCGCTGGACAACCAGAAGCTGAAGGCGATCAGAGGCCGCGTAGAAGTCTTGGTGTTGAAGGTACTCGGCTGCAGCGCGATATTCAGCTGATGATCTTGCCCATGTCTCGGTGATACCGAGACTTGTCTCAAGTTCGATAACGGCTCGGTTACGAACCACGAACTCATCAGCGGCCTGCCGTCGGGCGTTCTCGAGTTTCAGTGTCTCGGTCGTGTCGATAGCGTAGTCGGTATCTCCAGTCGTATGTTTGAAGGGCTCAGCCACGCGCTGCCACTCGATGCTAGATTTTTTGTCAGAACATCATCCAAAGGTAAAAATAGGGGGCGTACTCTGCTTTTTCACGAGCCTCGAGGGCTCGAACGTACGCAGCGCTAAGCTTACGTTCATCGGGTTCTTCCTTGAGGCTCATCAAAAACGAGCGCTCGCACTCGGGCCACGTGTTGATGTCGGACTCTGTGATCGCCAAGCGACTACATAGTTCCTTGACAGCTGGCGTGTAGTCGGCGATAATGGTGATCGCCTGGCGGTATTTCTGATATAGAAAGGTACCTGAGCATGAAGTGAGTAGAGAAAAGTGAGTAAGTAGAGAATGAATGGCTTACTGAGGTCACCATAACGATCCTCATCCCACTGCTGAAAATGAAGGTCGAGACTTTGAAGAAAATGGAATGGCGACGCGTAACGGTTGATGCGGGCGGTGGAGTTTGAGGATGAGAAAACACGCTCCATGACCTCGAGGTCCGAGAGGCCGGCGCCAGGGAGGTAAAGGGGATGGAAGCTCAGCTGGCATAGCCGACTATGTGCGTACCCGTGGAAGGCGTTGACGCATATCTTCAGATTGTACTTGCGTGCCTTGTCGCCAAGGAGGGGGCTGGAGTTGACGGTTTTACTGAATGCGCAGCCAGTGTCTTGCCCAAGGTTGACGTCTTTGCCGTGCGTGTCAAGAAGATGGCCGACGACCGCCAGGCCATACTTGGCACTAAAACCATCAGAAATTGAACTAAATTAAAGCTGCAAAATATCACTTACAGTTCACCGCTACGAACCATCTCGCATATCTTCTGCATCAGCCCATGTCGACAGGCCGACGCGAAGATTCCGGTGGTTTCGTAGATGTCGAGCGCCTTCTTGGGGCCGTCAGGTCTACTGACGCGGAAGTCCGAAGTGCAGCGTCCCATCTGATGGCTGTCGTGATCCTCGTCGTCGCCGTCGCTTGGATCTATCTGCGGGCCTCGAGCAGAGCTGCTCACTTCGTCCTTGTAGATGTCGACTTCTTCACGTGTGATGATGTAATCACTTGCAAAGGACCGCTGATCGGCAGATCCCGCGGACTCGACTCGGCGCGCGGAGTTGTTACCGTCGGAGGCGTATTGGACAGCTGGTACCAAGGGTACCTCGCCTGATATCTGAGTGTTCGTTAGTGGGAATACCGGCGTGAAGTAGAGCAAGAACATTACCTTATAGTGACAACAGGGGCAACTGTGCAAGGAGCGCCAATTTGAGGTGTTACGGCCCATCTCCTCGTTGAGCCGGCTCTGGATAGTACGTAACAGGTGTAGATACACGTCGAAGGCGTTCGAGAAAGCCTCCCGTAGTTGTGATGAGTAGCTGAGCTAAATCACCGGTAAGTATCTATCACGTCATGTCCAGGCGAGCCAATAGAGTACTTACATCACTGATGTCGCATAGCATGCGAACATAAGGTTGGATGCCTAGCTGGGCGTGTCGTCGGCGCAGTCGATGGTATACCTCCAGGGTGTGGAGGTCAATGGCGGTTTCGGGGGCTTCCGGGGTGCTGCCTAATAGACCAGCGCAAATTAACGCGACGTTTGCAAGCTCTTGATGACCCTGGGGCACAGTGGAAGAGGTAGTCTCTGTAGTAGAAATTCAGTAATAATACTAATAATTCAAATGGATCTACTCACTGTTGATAGACAAGACGCGAATATGAAAGACGTGGAGCGGGGAGTCATCGGACGACTCGGGTGGGCTAGAAGTCCCTGAAAGCCAAAGCAGATATTGCTCTACGAGAGCATCATGCTGCTGAGTCCACGATTGATGGGCACGCATGACGCGTTCATAGCGAGTACGAGCCCGGAGACCTTTGATGATGCGCGTGTCCGTTCTTCTGGTCATGCAGCATGAACTGAATGATAAGAGGATGGACTTACTTCATGAACGAGGCTTCCAATGCCGCCTGAATCCCCTCATCAATCTCCCCACTAGCATATGTGCCACGACCCTCCTCATCCTCGTCTTCGCGCTCGTTCACAACGTCCATGTAGTCGTCGTCGTTCTCACCAGGTGCGAGAGGGAGGTCCGAGGCCGAGAAGCCGCTGTCGGCCTCTACACCTATGGCCATGGCAATATCATTATGGATGGAACGCGACGCGTGCGTTAAGTCTACAAAACCAACATTAGTGTACCACTAGTAAGACAAACGGAAGGAGAACAAACTCACTATTGAGGGTACCTTGGCGGGCGTCTCGAGCTATGTCGCCACGCCTGCGAATGGCTCCGCGCGTCCTCCTCGTTGATGTTGCAGAAGCAGCCTGTACTGGCTGCGATGATCCCATCCTTGTGCTATTTGCACCTCCATCGAAGATGGTGCTCTTCACAGGGCGCTTGAAGGCGTTGCTGTAGTTTGACTTCTTCATGGTAGCAGAGAAAGGAGGGGTAGGCGAGGGCGGTTGTAAGGGGAATGGCAAGAGGGCGATGGCAACGTGTACGGTGTGTACAACGCGGACTGATTACCTAATGGTCAGCAACGCGTCCTACACGTTGAATCTGCATGTGACTTACCAGGCGCGTGGCCTTGAAGACAATGGAGAGGACAAGGGCGCGGCGGCGTTGAAGGGAGCGGCGGAGGGGACAAGGGCGCGGCGGAAGGGACAAGGGAATAGGCGAGGGCGCGTCGGCAGCGCGGACCGAGCCGAGCGGAGGGCGGGAGGCGGGAGGAGCGGGGGAACGGGGGAGCGGTTAACTCGGGCAGCCCGGGTGACGTCAGACAGAGACCAGACCGTTATCTTCGCGTTCTAATCATAATCTAATCTAATCCAACGTTTGACATAGAGGCCGGATACGATAGAATAGGACTTGTACAAGTATGGTAATATCTCCGCCGCCAAACGCCGCGACACCTAGGTGCAACGGAAGGTGCTCGGCTAACAAGCGCGGCAGGCTTGACAAGCCTCACACGCCCTAATACCGTGATAGGCTTCATAAGCCTCTACTCTGGTGTCACTCAGGTGCGAAGTGTGTGCGGGCCAACAATCGCAGCAGATTAAATGTCCCACCTTTCTCACGTCTTTATCACAAAACTTTGTTACCATCCACGCTTCAGCTAGCTTATC